GTATTGCTGACTGTAAACCAAATTCTTCAGACTTTATATGCAGTATTCAAGCAGGTAAATATTTTCAGTTCAATAAAATATTTAAGTGCCTACTTTACAATACGCACTATGGCAGAAGGTGGGGACACAAAGATGAACGAGATCTGGTTTCTGCTCTCAAAGAGCTCCTATACCCACAGTAAGGGGGAAAAGTATTCCAGTGCAAGAAGAACTATCCTAAATTATTCTTGGCAAGATGGGAGAAAAACTTGAAAGAGGAGCTTGGCCATTAACTGAAATGGAAAGGTATGTTTAGAAGAGATGTCCAAGTACATGAAAGATACCAGTCCTGGCTTAATGCGGGCTAACATAACTTGAGACAAACATCTAGAAATGGTAGATAAAGGTTTGGTTTTGTTTTCAATGCATAGCTGAGGAAATCCAGGAAAGGGGACACCAAAGACACAACAAAAGGAACTGAAAACTAGTGGAGAAGCAGAAGAAGAGAAATAAAGATCAGAGCAGAAATCAATGAAATAGAAACCAAAAAAACAATAGAGCAAATCAACGAAACTAGGAGCTGCTTCTTTGAAAGAATTAATAAGATTGATAAACCCCTGGCCAGACTTATCAAAAAGAAGAGAGAAAAGACCCAAATAAATAAAATCATGAATGAAAGAGGAGAGATCACAACTAACACCAAAGAAATACAAACAATTATAAGAACATACTATGAGCAACTCTACGCAAACAAATTTGACAATCTGGAAGAAATGGATGCATTCCTAGAGACATATATACCACAACTGAACCAGGAAGAAATAGAAAACCTGAACAGACCCATAACCAGTAAGGAGATTGAAACAGTCATCAAAAATCTCCAAACAAGCAAAAGCCCAGGGCCAGACGGCTTCCCAGGGTAATTCTACCAAACATTTAAAGAAGAACTAATTCCTATTCTCCTGAAACTGTTCCAAAAAACAGAAATGGAAGGAAAACTTCTAAACTCATTTTATGAGGCCAGCATCACCTTGATCCCAAAACGAGACAAGGATCCCAGCAAAAAAGAGAACTACAGACCAATATCCTTGATGAACACAGATGCGAAAATTCTCACCAAAATACTAGCCAATAGGATTCAACAGTACATTAAAAGGATTATTCACCACGACCAAGTGGGATTTATTCCAGGGCTGCAAGGTTGGTTCAACATCCGCAAATCAATCAATGTGATACAACACATTAATAAAAGAAAGAACAGGAACCATATGATACTCTCCATAGATGCTGAAAAAGCATTTGACAAAGTACAGCATCCCTTCCTGATCAAAACTCTTCAAAGTGTAGGGATAGAGGGCACATACCTCAATATTATCAAAGCCATCTATGAAAAACCCATCGCAAATATCATTCTCAATGGAGAAAAACTGAAAGCTTTTCCGCTAAGGTCAGGAACACGGCAGGGATGTCCGTTATCACCACTGCTATTCAACATAGTACTAGAAGTCCTAGCCTCAGCAATCAGACAACAAAAGGAAATTAAAGGCATCCAAATCGGCAAAGAAGAAGTCAAACTATCACTCTTCGCAGATGATATGATACTATATGTGGAAAACCCAAAAGACTCCACTCCAAAACTGCTAGAACTGGTACAGGAATTCAGTAAAGTGTCAGGATATAAATTCAATGCACAGAAATCAGTCGCATTTCTCTACACCAACAACAAGACAGAAGAAAGAGAAATTAAGGAGTCCATCCCATTTACAATTGCACCCAAAACTATAAGATACCTAGGAATCAACCTAACCAAAGAGACTAAGAATCTATACACAGAAAACTATAAAGTACTCGTGAAAGAAATTGAGGAAGACACAAAGAAATGGAAAAATGTTCCATGCTCCTGGATTGGAAGAATAAATATTGTGAAAATGTCTATGCTACCTAAAGCAATCTACACATTTAATGCAATTCCTATCAAAGTACCATCAATTTTTTTCAAAGAAATGGAACAAATAATCCTAAAATTTATATGGAACCAGAAAAGACCTCGAATAGCCAAAGGAATATTGAAAAAGAAAGCCAGAGTTGGTGGCATCACAATTCCGGACTTCAAGCTCTATTACAAAGCTGTCATCATCAAGACAGCATGGTACTGGCACAAAAACAGACACATAGATCAATGGAACAGAATAGAGAGTCCAGAAATGGACCCTCAACTCTATGGTCAACTAATCTTCGACAAAGCAGGAAAGAATGTCCAATGGAAAAAAGACAGCCTCTTCAATAAATGGTGTTGGGAAAATTGGACAGCCACATGCAGAAAAATGAAATTGGATCATTTCCTTACACCACACACGAAAATAGACTCAAAATGGATGAAGGACCTCAATGTGAGAAAGGAATCCATCAACATCCTTGAGGAGAACACAGGCAGCAACCTCTTTGACCTCAGCCGCAGCAACATCTTCCTAGGAACATCGCCAAAGGCAAGGGAAGCAAGGGCAAAAATGAACTATTGGGATTTTATCAAGATCAAAAGCTTTTGCACAGCAAAGGAAACAGTTAACAAAACCAAAAGACAACTGACAGAATGGGAGAAGATATTTGCAAACGACATATCAGATAAAGGGCTAGTGTCCAAAATCTATAAAGAACTTAGCAAACTCAACACCCAAAGAACAAATAATCCAATCAAGAAATTGGCAGAAGACATGAACAGACATTTCTGCAAAGAGGACATCCAGATGGCCAACAGACACATGAAAAAGTGCTCCATATCACTCGGCATCACTCGGAAATACAAATCAAAACCACAATGAGATATCACCTCACACCAGTCAGAATGGCTAAAATTAACAAGTCAGGAAATGACAGATGCTGGCGAGGATGCGGAGAAAAGGGAACCCTCCTACACTGTTGGTGAGAATGCAAGCTGGTGCAACCACTCTGGAAAACAGCATGGAGGTTCCTCAAAAAGTTGAAAATAGAACTACCCTATGACCCAGCAATTGCACTGCTGGGTATTTACCCTAAAGATACAAACGTAGTGATCCGAAGGGGCATGTGCACCCGAATGTTTATAGCAGCAATGTCTACAATAGCCAAACTATGGAAAGAACCTAGATGTCCATCAACAGACGAATGGATAAAGAAGGTGTGGTATATATATACAATGGAATACTATGCAGCCATCAAAAGAAATGAAATCTTGCCATTTGAGACAACGTGGATGGAACTAGAGGATATTATGCTTAGCGAAATAAGTCAATCGGAGAAAGACAACTATCATATGATCTCCCTGATATGAGGAAGTGGAGATGCAACATGGGGGGTTAAGGGGGTAGGAGAAGAATAAATGAAACAAGATGGCATTGGGAGGGAGACAAACCATAAGTGACTCTTAATCTCAAAAAACAAACTGAGGGTTGCTGGGGGGAGTGGGGTTAGAAGAGGGGGGTAGGGTTATGGACATTGGGGAGGGTATGTGCTATGGTGAGTGCTGTGAAGTGTGTAAACCTGGCGATTCACAGACCTGTACCCCTGGGGATAAAAATACATTATATATTTATAAAAAAATTTTAAAATTAAAAAAAGAAAAGAAAACTAGTGGAGAAGGTAAAACAGCTGATGCAATTACTGGAGGGATAAGGGAACATAACTGAAGAACTTGGGTTTTAATGCTGACAAGAAACAAGACCTGCAGGAAGCTGGAAGTGAGACCTCCAGTTAAAACTGGGACCATGAGACAGAAACAGCCTTACTGAAAGGGGGGAAACCATGAAAAATTCATCCACTTGGCAAAAAAGGATGCCAGGAAATTTTGGAACCATGGAATTTCACTCCATGTGAATTTGAGAATTTAAATATACAATTTCTCTGTGTTCTAGGAAATATCATGACCTTCCCCACCCCATCCCCATGTAAAAACTTACATAAAAATGGTCTCAGATCAGATACCCGTGGCACTGCTCTGGAGATACAGGGGCGTGATGACGCAGACCACATGGGATTCTTACACCACCTCCCAAATGCAAAAACTCTGAAACACCATCTGAGTCAAATTTGCCAGACCTATAACTAACAAAATACTAGTATCCAGAATATACATAACTAAAGAAACAACAAAGACAACCAGTACCAAGACAAAGACAGGGGAGGGAGCAAAAGGATATGAATAGGCAATTTCTACAGGAAGAATATGTTAATGGATAATAAGTCAATTAAAGGGTGCATGGGTGGCTCAGTGGGTTAAGCTGCTGACTTTGGCTCAGGTCATGATCTCAGGGTCCTGGGATCAAGTTCTGCATCAGGCTCCCTGCTCAACGGGGAGTCAGCTTCTCCCTCTGCCCAACCCCGCCCCCATGCTTGCTTCTCTGTCTCTCTGAAGTAAATAAATACAATCTTTTTAATTAATTAATTAATTAAAGGGGTGCTCTACCCTACCGGAAATCAGTACTACATAAATTAAAACTAACAGAAAGCACTTAACACCACTTTGGAAAACTTAACAAAAACTAGTAAAGCTATGGAACGCCTGGGTGGCTCAGTGGGTTGAGGCCTCTGCCTTCAGCTCAGGTCATGATCTCAGGGTCCTGGGATCAAGCCCAGCATCAGGCTCTCTGCTCAGCGGGGAGCCTGCTTCCTCCTCTCTCTCTCTCTCTGCCTGTCTCTCTGACTACTTGTAATCTCTATCAAATAGATAAATAAAATCTTTAAAAAAAAACAAAACTAGTAAAGCTAAATATTAGTAATGATTACTCTTGGAGAAACTAGTAGATGGGCCCAAGAAAACATTCAAGGATACTCATCGGATTGCTATTTATAAGAGGAAAAAAGTGGAGATGACTCAATGATCTTTCTCTAAAGGAATGGAATACTTGGATTTACTCATGCAGTTGGATGAGCAATTAAAGACTAAGGGGTTTTTTCCGTCTTTTTTGTGAATATGGATGTACTAGTCTGAACCAAGAGAATATAAATACATAAATTTTAAAAAGATCTGTTATAAGGAGTTGGCTCACATAATTGTGGAGGCAGAGAAGTTCCCAGTATCTGAAGTCAGCAAGCTAGAGTACCAGTAGAGCTGACGATGGAGTCCCAGTCTGATTCCGAAGGCCAGTGTCTCAGCTCAGACAGGCAAGTGGAGAGAGAATTCTCTTACTCTATCTTTTTTTATTCAAGCTGACAATGAATTGGTTGAGGCCCAACCACACTGGGGAGTGCAATCAGCTTTACTCAGTCTGTGGATTCAAATTTTTAAATCTCATTCAGAAACATCCAGACGCATGAGGAATTCTGTTTAACCAAGTCTCTGGGCCCTGAGTGGCCCAGTCCAGTCGCCACCTAAAATTAACCAGCACAATGGATAAATAAATGTCAAAAACATGTTGAGTGAAAAGGGCAAGTTTCAAAAGAAAATGTCCCATTTGATGAAATTAACATTACTTTTTTTAACCCCAAATAATATTATGTATTTCTATAGTAAAAGTTTGGAAACATATCAGAAGGATGGATAGTTTTTATCTTTGGGAAGGGAGGATGTGGGTAAGATGAGTAATGGTATTATATTTTATTTTTGGTGCTTTTTACATTTGGAATAATTCATTTCAAATATTTTTTAATACAAAAAGTATATGGCATTTTCAGGGAACTAACCTGCTGGAGTTGGATCAAAGAGGCAGGAGGTGAGAATAAGAAGACGGCTTGGGACTGTACAGTGAAGAACCCTGACTATCATTTTGAAGTTACATTTTAGATGGTAGATTATAGGAGCCCTCAAAGGTTTAAAGCAACAAATGAGTCTTTTAAAAAGTATTCATGGGGGGAAAAAAGTACTCAGGGGAGGGTGTCTTACTAGTTGGGACTAGACATTAGAGGTACAAGAAATGTCTTTATAAAAAAAAAGGGACAGGGTGCCTGGGTGGCTCTGATCAAGCGTCTGACTTCAGCTCAGATCATGATCTCAGGGTCCTGGGAATCAAGGCCCTTCTGGGCTCGCTGCTCCACTGGAAGTCTGCTTTTCCCTTTCCCTCAACCCCTTCCCCCTGCTCATGCTCTCTCTCTCAAATAAAATCTTAAAAAAAAAAAAGGGACTGAATCGGTGACTGATAGTAAGGTTACAATCTGTTCCACCCTCAGCCATCTGTATATAGTTGTCTTTTCTTGTTCAGCAAAGTTTCCTGCAGAGCAGGCCTCACCAACAGAGTTCAGTCATAAGCCCTAGGTCTATTAAAAAAAAAAAAAAAAAAGCAGATTTGGGAATCTTCTTTCACTCCAATGACTGCTCTGTGACAGACACCTAGGGAACAATACTAAGCTTTTGACAGCAACAGGGTTCTGCTCTCTGATACTAATTATTTTAGGGAATTCGTTCCCAGTTACAGACCATCCCTTGTTATGGTTCTCAGTTGTCTGCCTGGCTACTTCCCTTCACTGTCCACGCCCTACAAATGGTTCTCAGGCAGACGAGAATCTCGCCACCAAAGCTGCCTCTGACTAACACAGGGTGGGGAGGGCCCTGGTGTCCCAGGCCTCGCCAATAAGTGCTTCTCTCCCGAGTCTTTGGTTCTGAACAACAGAAGGAACCAGAGAAGAGTCAATCAACATTCACTGCAGATCTTTATGTACCTGTAAACACACTGGAAATGGTCTGGAAAAATACACCGAGCTGGTAACACCAGTAATTTTCAAGCAGGGAAATTGTGGGGAATAGACGGAATGACAAGGGGTACTTTCAGTTATCTCTATTTTTAAATATTTTACATAGAAAATATATTCATGGGGGCGCCTGGGTGGTTCAGTGGGTTAAGCCTCTGCCTTCGGCTCAGGTCATGATCCCAGGATCCTGGGATCGAGCCCCGCATCGGGCTCTCTGCTCAGCGGGGAGTCTGCTTCTCCCTCTGCCTCTGCCTGCCTCTCTGCCTACCTGTGATCTCTCCGTCAAATAAAGAAATAAAATCTTAAAAAAATGTGTATATATATTTTTTTTCATGTATTCCCGACCTTAAGAAGCTTACAGACTAACTAGCATAAATGATACAAAAAAACTGTTTTTCCTAAAACAAAAAAGTGTGTATTTTTGAAGTGTGGCAATAGATTGATAATAATTAAAACTGAGGGATGGGTATAAGGGTCTTGTTTCTATTCGCTCAGCTTTTGTATATGTTTGAAATCCCCAAAATATTTTTTTTAAGATTTTATTTATTTATTTGACAGAGAGAGAGATCACAAGTAGGCAGAGAGGCAGGCAGAGAGAGAGGAAGAAGCAGGCTCCCTGCTGAGCAGAGAGCCTGATGCGGGGCTTAATCCCAGGACCCCAGCATGACCTGAGCTGAAGGCAGAGGCTTAACCCTCTGAGCCACCCAGGTGCCCTCCCCCCAAATATTTTTATTATACAAGATATATATGCTCATTGTAAAAAACGCAATTAATGAGCTACATGACATTTCCATTTGCCCCAATAACTATTAACACTTGGTATATAGCCTTCCAAAACCACTTATCAGATAACTACATGAATACAAATGTTCCTTTTATTTATTTATATTTTTTATTTATTTGAAAGAGTGTGAGCTGGGGGAGGGGGCAGGGCAAAGGGAGAGAATCTTAAGCACACTTGTGCTGAGAGCAGAGCACAATCTGGGGCTTGATCTCACAACCTTGAGATCATGACCTGAGCTGATATCAAGAATCAGATTTTTGTTTGTTTGGGGTTTTTTTTTTCCTCAATATTTTACTTATTTATTTGACAGAGAGAGCACACGCAGGGAGAGCCAGAGAAGGAGAGGGAGAAGCAGACTCCCTGCTGAGTAGGGAGCCTGATACAGGGCTCGACCCCAGGACCCTGGGATAATGACCTGAGCCAAAGGCAGTCGCTTAACCAACTGAGACACCCAGGAACCCCACAAATGTTCCCTTTAAAACAAAAACGAGGTGTGTCTGAGTGGCTCAGTTGGTTAAATGGCCAACTCTTCATTTTGGCTTAGGTCATTATCTTGGGGTTCTGGGATCAAGCCCCGAGGGAGGCTTCAGCTCAGTGAAGAGTCTTGCTTGCCCCTCCACCCCTCCCCCTTCTTGTGCTCTCTCAGAATCTTTTAAAAATTTAAAAAAATTAGGGACGCCTGGGTGGCTCAGTTGGTTAAGCGGCTGCCTTCGGCTCGGGTCATGATCCCAGCATCCTGGGATCGAGTCCCACATCGGGCTCCTTGCTCAGCAGGGATCCTGCTTCTCCCTCTGCCTCTGCCTGCCTCTCTGCCTGTGCTCACTCTCTCTGACAAATAAATAAATAAAATCTAAAAAAAAAAATTTTTTTAATTAAAAAATAAAACAAAAATGAGATCATACTATACATATTCTGCTAGTTTTGACAGATTTAACATTCCACTTTATGGGTATACCATTATTCTTCAATTCTTTAACATATTTAAGATTCTTTATTTTTAAAATATTGCAAACAGGGGCACCTGGGTGCTCAGAAGGTTAAGCAGCAGGCTCTTGGTTTTGGCTCAGGTCATGTCCTCGGGTTCCTGGGATCAGCCTGTGTTGGGCTCTGCACTCAGCAGGGAGTCTGCTAGGGATTCTCTCCCTCCCTTGTCCTTTGTCCCTCCCCCCTGCTTGCTCTCCACTCTCAAATAAATAGATCTTTTTTTTTTTTTAAAGATTTTATTTATTTATTTGTCAGAGAGAGAAAAAGCACAAGCAGGGGGAGTGGCAGGCAGACAGAGAAGCAGACTCCCCATTGAGCAAGGAGCCCCCTACATTACAGTCTTGATGCAGAATTCCTTCTTTGGGAACTCTCAAGTCTCTGTTCTTAAGGTCTTCAACTGATTGGATGAGCCCCATCCACAATATGGAGGACAATCTGCTTTACCGAAAGTCTGATTTAAATGTTGACTACATGGGGCACCTGGGCTAGGCTTCTGCCTTGGGCTCAGGTCATGGTCTCAGGGTCCTGGGATCGAGCCCCGCGTCGGGCTCTCTGCTTGGTAGGGAGCATGCTTCCCCCTCTCTCTCTGCCTGCCTCTCTGCCTACTTGTGATCTCTCTCTCTGTGTCAAATAAATAAATAAAAAAATGTTGACTACATCTAAAAAATACCTTCACAGCAACATCCAGACTGGTGTTTGACCAAACAACTGAGCTCCATAGCCTGGCTAAGCTGACACAAAATTAACCATCACCTCAGCACCGTAGCAAAAGATGATCAAATGTGAATGAATTATTTCTAAACCACCTACTTTGTATAATGATATTTATAACTCTCTTGGTACTAATCTTAAATACAATGACTAATTGTTTAACATACCGATACACATAATTTTTTAAAATCAGCATAAGGCTCTAATAGTAACATAAAGGAGAATTTTAAAACAATTTACAGTAACATGATTTCTGTGTGTAAATATGTGGACAGTTATACTAGCATTCGGGTGGTTGCCCTTCTGTACACCCATCATCAATTCAGTGGCTACAAATGCAGACGGTCACAACTGCATTATGTCACAGACTCAAATACCAAGAACAGGCTTTGCCATCAAAGGCACGGCTTTCTGAAATTGTATACAGAAGTTCTGAATAAGACAAATTACTGTAGTCTTCCCTCCATTTTATATAAAGTTGCATGCTGAGAGAAATCCGAGTACACTAAACCCGTATAGAAAGTACATTTGTGTTTATATGGAAAAGAGAGATTATAGGCTCAGCTACTTTTAAACTGTCTTTTCATTTATTTGAGTATTTATAGAGACATCTGATAGTTGTGCGGGACTTGGGACTTGTGCAGAGAATATCCTGGGCACTGCAAAAAATCTAGCATCCTTGGCCTCCACCCACCAAATGCCAGAGATGCTTCCCAATCACTGTGACAATCAAAACATTTTCACCTGGGGGCGGCGGGTACTACTTCAGCTAAGAACAATAGTGGTGAACAGGAAGCCATCAAAAATATTTCCCCCCAAGTTTTTCTTTGAGCAATTGGAAAAAAAAAAATGCAGGAAATCAAGGAATAATATAGACTTTCATTACTTCCAACAACCAGAATTAACATCTCTAACATTCTGTCTTATCTTGAATCTTAGTTGTAAAAGAAGTACAAAATTAGAGACCTGTGACATTGTGATAAAAGACAGGGGCAGGGGTGCCTGGGTGGCTCAGTGGGTTAAGCCTCTGCCTTCAGCTCAGGTCATGATCTCAGGGTCCTGGAATTGAGCCCCGCATCAGGCTCTCTGCTCAGCAGGGAGCCTGCTTCCCTCCTCTCTCTCTGCCTGCCTCTCTGCCTACTTGTGATCTCTCCCTCTCTGTCAAATAAATAAAAATATTAAAAAAAGAAAGAAAGAAAGAAACACAGGGGCACAAGGCTGGCTCAGTTGGTAGAGCATATGACTCTTGATCTTGGGGTTGTAAGTTAGAGCCCCATGTTGAGGGCAGAGTTTACTTTAAAAAAAAAAAAAAAAAAGGCAGGGGCGCCTGGGTGGCTCAGTGGTTAAGGCCTCTGCCTTCGGCTTGGGTCATGATCTCA